CTCATTTCAGGTATTACTCTGTCTCTGGGCTGCCTACAATTCATTTACATCCTTCCTTAAGTGAGATGACCAATAATGTACATAGTACTCCAGAAGTGGTCTCTTTGGTTCCTGTGTAGCTCAAGTATAATCTCCCTACTTCTGTAGTCACTTCCCTTTGTAATAAATAACCATCTATCAGATTTCCTAATTAGTTTCTGTAGCTGCATACTAACCTTATGCAATTCATGCATGATGGCACCGAGAGCCCTCTGCACCTCAGAGCACTGCAATTTCTCACCAATTAGATAACAAGCTTCTTTTATATCTTTTTTCTGCCAAAATGGGCAATATCATATTTTCACGCACTATACACTGCCTTGTCACCTAAATGATATATATCCGGTATATCTGATTTATATCTATGTTACCTTCACAACTTAGTGAGTCAACTTTCTATCCATGGCAATATATTAGCCCCTACACCATGAGGTTTAGTTTGTAGAGTCATACAACATGGAAACAGATCCTTTGGCCCAACTCGTCCATGCAGACCAGGATTCCCAAATTTAACTAGTCCCATTTGTCAGTGTTTGGCCCATATCCCTCTAAATCTTTCCTATCCATAATCCTCTCCAAATATCTTTTAAATGTTATAATTGTACCTGCCTCTACCACTTTCTCTGGCAGCTCATTCCACACTCGCAAGACCCTGTGTGAAAATGTTGCCCCTCAGGTCCCTTTTAAATCTTTCCCCTCTCACATTAAACCTATGCCCTCTGGTTTTGCACTTCCCTCCCTTGGAAAACGACCTTGGCTATTCATCTTATCCACACCTCTCATGATTTTATAAACCTCTATAAGGTCAGTCCCTCAGCGTCCGACACTTTGGGGATAAAGTCCCAGCCTGTCTGACCTCTCCCAAAAACCTGTAATGTGGTATCTCACCAAATGCCTTTTGGAAATCTAAGTACAATACATGCACTGGTTCTTGTGTTAATCTGTTAACTTTTCAAAGAACTCCAACAGATTGGTCAAACATGATTTTCTTTTCATAAAACCATGTTGACTATGCATAACTACCTTGAACTTATCTAAATACCATACTATGACTTCTTTTATAACAGCTTTTAACATTTTATATTTGACAGATGAATATTAGGATACGTAACTAAATATATAACACATATTGAAGGATATATACGTGTGTGTGTGTGTGTGTGTGTGTGTGTGTGTGTGTGTGTATAATATATATCATGTAGGGCATATAGGTATATTGAAAAAGTAAAATATAAAGGAAAAAGTACAATTAGATGAAAAGTTTAAATAGAAGATTGGAGGTTGAATGGACTGACTAGTGTTAATAATAAACCATAATAAAACAAAGAACCGGTGATGCTGAAAATTTGAAACATTTGAAACAAAATTTAAAATGGGGCAGCACAGTGGCTCAGTGGTTAGCACTACTGCCTCACAGTGCCAGGGAGCCAGGTTCAATTCCACTCTCGGCAACTGTCTGTGTGGAGTTTGCACATTCTCCCAGTGTCTGTGTGAATTTCTTCCAGGTACTCCAGTTTCCTCCCACAGTCCAAAGATGTGCAGGTTAGGTGGGTTGGCCATGCTAAACTGCCCACAGTGTTCAGGGTTGAGTGGATTAGGGGGATGGGTTTGGGTGGGATGCTATGAGGGTCAGTGTGGACTTGTTGGGCCAAAGGGCCTGTTTCCACACTGTAGGGATTCTATTCTTTCTATGAAAACAGAAATGGCTGGAGAAACTCAGCAGGTCTGGAACTATCTTTGGACAGAAAGCAGAGTTAATATTTTGAGTCCAATGACTCATCTTCAGTCACTGGACTTCAAAACATAAACTCTGCTTTCTCTCTATTAATAATGAGCTTTTTTTTCAGATGGTAGAGGTAAGAGTTAATGGTTAATATTAGAGGAATGAAGATCTTTCTGATGCTTGACCAGCTTCGTTATGTTATTACATTCTCTCCTTTCTAATTCCGGCCACATATTTTGAAAGGTGGAGGATGTTCTGAATAACTGGGTCTCAGCTTGTTAATAAATAATAGCTTTATGATTGTTTTTCTGCAAGTTTGAATCCCAGATTTTAGACATTTACGTGGTTGCAAACCAATCACTGCTCAAGCAAGTAAAACACAACATAAGTCCTTAAACAGAATCAAAACCGAAAACAGAAATTGTTGGAAAAGCTCAGCAGGTCTGGCAGCATTTGTGGAGAGAAATCAGAGTTAGCGGTTTGTGTCCAGTGACCCTTTTTTGGAATCTTCCGGCATCTGCAGTTCTTTTGGGTTTTTTTTCAGTGAATCTTCAAAACCTGACAACACCAGGTCGAGTCAATCTATTCCTGGTACAGGATAGATTAGGAGATTTGTGAGTATGAGAGAGGATTGACTGCAAAAGACTGAAATTACAGGGCCTCTGGCATATTCAGAATTTTAAAATTTCAGTCCTCCTGGGGGCTTGCTGATTTATTGAAGTAATGAGCTTGAATTATATGGATTCATTTTGAGTTTTCATTTTGAGGAAAATGATGGCTAGAGGGAGAAAGGCAAGATGCAGTTCATTTCAGAACTGAAAAAAACAAATGGGCAAGGCAATTCTGCATTATATCCAGCCTTCAGTGCCATACCATGTACAGCACTGTGGGAAGAGTTGATCAGACTGACCTCCATCTTGCTTTTGTAGGCATATGAGAACCAAGAAACAATGGTCTAATGATGGTTTATGTGTCTTTGGTATACTGAACCCCTGGAATCAGAGTTAGTTTCTGCAATAAATAGGAGACAAAGTGTGAGACAGACATGGACAGGGAGAGAGAAACATGCATTGCAGTTTCTCTGATATTTAGCAATGAGTTTTTGACTTTTTAAGCTAAAGATACCAGTGCTACATTTTCCACTTCTTAGTCAATGTTACTGTCTCCATCATATTTACTGCGGGCTGAATGCAGAACAAAGATGTATTTTGCCAATCTCAGAAAAACCCAAGATGATACTTCCCTTAACAAAAGGAGTAATTGCAATTACATAGGATTTGCAAACTCAAGATCAGTGAAAGCATCTTAAGGACAAGAAAATTGGGCCTGAAGTGCTGTCATTGTTGTGAAGTCAGAAACGGGTGGCCAATTTGTAAGCAGCAATCTGCTGGTGACCAGATAATCTGAGAACCTCAATAGGCGACTTCAAAACAGTACTGAGATCTTTTGCACCAATTGAGAGAGGAGATGGCACTGTTTTAACATCCCAAATGAAAAATGAACCTTCTGACAATGCGGTGTCCCTCAATATTGCATGAGAGTACAAGCCAAGATTTTATATTCAAGAATCTGGGTGGGAATGTGGGTCAAAAATATTCAGACCCTGAGGTATGAATGCAATTAATTGAGCCATGGTGGCCATCTTGTAACTTTTTTCATCCATCTGCCTCACAATCTATGGCTGTTAATCAAGGGATGAACTGTGAGCTGTATTGTGCCACTGTTGCAAATACCTAGCTTATGGTTCATGTGTTTTAAGTTATGATTTTTACTTGGGAATTAAAGTCTTAACTATAGTAAATAAGGTAAAATGCAACTAAAGCCAGTTTGGGGTCCATTACATTTAACGCATTGGGACCATGTTGACGTAAGACATTAAAAGCTGAAAAGGTAAGATCATAAACCACCTTACTAATTTGGAGACATGATGTTTATAATCCTTGCAATTAGTGAAGTCTGGAGATATGTTTTGTTTTGGGAGCTAGAGATGAATTAGTCTAAAAGCAATCACTAAAACATGAAAGATTATGAAACCAATTTACTTCATAAAATCAAAGAAGAAATTGTAAATGAGGGATAATTAGGCTATAGGTGGTTTGAGAACATCCCAGAACAGGCAACATTACCATGGAGATGGTTGGAGTTTAGTGATGCTTTTCACCTTCAATTTATCGGGGTATTTGTTGGGAAAACGAGTTACAGTTTGGACCTGGTGCGGTTTGTGACACACTGTGAGAAGATAGCTAAAATAAATGATAGTTAGCTAGATCTGCACTGTCAACAGAGCAAAAAAACCAATTTCATCATTCTTCGTGTGGAATGTGGTTGAAGCTCAATATTAACTTGAATCTCTTCGGACACAGCAACTAGAAGAATGTCGAGTTGGAAACTAGTGCAAGAATCTATCATGGTCCACGACAGAATCTTGTGCCAAAGAAAGTAATAAACAGTTTAGCTTAGAAGTATTGAAAATTAACCAGACAAGGGATTAAGGCATTTAAAGTCAACAGAAAATAAATGTACACTTTACTTCTGAAAATATCATTCATTCATGGGATGTGGGCACTGTTGGCTAAGCCAGTATTTATTGCCCTTGAGATGGTGGTGTCTTGCTGTGTACTGGGTATGACTCCAAGCAGTGAAGAGATTTCTCCAATTCCCATTCACTCCAATTTTGCCGTTTCCTTGATGCCTTACTCTTTTAAACAGGCCCTTGATCTCAAAATCAGTCAAATTCACCTATTCCTGGGGTTCAGCTCACTTGTCCATGTTTGGATCAAGGCTACAGTGAGGTCAGAAGCTGCATGGTCCTGGCAGAACCCAAACAGAGTGTCAGTGAATAGGTTATTTCTTTGCAACTGCCACCTGACGGCTCTGTCAATGACCCCTTCCATCTATTTACGACAAAATGATTGAGCGTAGACTGCCTGGGTTGGATTTGTCCTGCTTTTTGTGGACAGGGCATACCTGGGTAATTTTCAAATAGATTGTGAGGCAGATGGATGACAAGAGTTACAAGATGGCCGCCAGGGCTCAATTAATTGCATTCAAACCTCAGGGTCTGAATATTTTTGACCCGTGTCCCTACCTAGATTCTGGAATATAAAACCTTGGCTTGTACTCTTGCAATATTGAGGGACACTGCATTGTCAGAAGGTTCATTTTTCATGTTAAAACAGTCCCACCTCCTCTCTCAATTGGTTGTCAGATAGATACCAGTGTCATAAGTGTACTGCACCAGCTTGGCTCAGGTAACAGCTACATCTGGAGCACAAGTCTTCAATGTTATTGCTGGAATGTTGTCAGGGCCCATAGACTTTACAACGTCTTGTGCCTACAGCTCTTTCTTGATATTGAGTGGTACAAATTGAACTGACTGAAGGTGGTGGTGAGGAATATTCTCCAGAAAGTTGAGACTTATTTATAGGTGGCAGAATTAATTAATTTTTAGATTGATGTGTTTTACAGGGAAATCCTTGGGGAGAGTAACTGATAAACCTGAGTGTAAAATATATAGTTATACATCATATTGCTAAGTTAATTGGGTTGTTTTGTTTTATGTACAACTAAGTTGATTTTGAGAAAACATGCAGTCTTGTGGCATTGTTCTATCAGTTAAAACAAAATGCTTGGATTTCTCTTTACAGGTTAATGGTCCTTAACTAGGTCATAACATTACAATTATGTGGTTTCTTCAAACTCATCTAATGTAGACAATTTCATAGTCAGAAGTAAAAAAAAAATGACTTTGGACTCATTAGTCCTGGATCAGTGTAGTCAATATTCTCAACAGTCACACCTTCTAAAGCCAATCTGACTGTAATGCAAAGATTTTAAAATCTGTTGGAAATGAAATAAACATCAATGCTTTTACAATGAAATCATTTTATGTGGATTCCTGAGTGGGAATTGGAAGTCCTTCATCATATATTCCTAAAACTGTAATGACTGCTGAAATTTAACATAAAATGATTGAAGACATGGAGAGACAAATAATGTTTGAGGGAAGAGGACCCAGGTCCCTGAAGGGATTACTGGTGTGTGCATTAGCAGGGCCAATAAATTTCTTCTCCCTTTATTGAACAAGTATTTAAACACAGCAACATCAATTAAGCAAACTTCCTCAAAAAGCAAATACTGTTATCTTATCAAATTATTCTGGTTCTTCAACTCCTCTACCACCTCTGGCCTAACAGTCAAATCTTTCCCAAAATCTCTGTTAGATGAGTTAAGGTTGTCTCTATTGAGATGCACCCTTGATATATCAATGAAAATAGCTGACGAAGCCAGCAATTGATAACATTCTTGGTTTGAGAAACAAATGGAAGAAAAGTAAGACAGAAATTTATGCAGCATCGTATCATGTCTCAGAAATCAGAGAATCCCTACAGTTGGAAACAGGCCCTTCAGCCCAACCAGTCCACACTGACCCTTGGAGCATCCCACCCAGATCCATCCCCCTAACATCCCTGAACACTAATCCAATCCAACTAATCTGAACATCTTTGGACTGTGGGAAGAAACCAGAGTACCCAGAGGAAACCCACGCAGACACGGGGAGAATGTGCAAACTCCACACAGACAGTGGCCCATGGGGTGGAATTGAACATGGGTCCCTGGGGCTATGAGGCAGCAGTGCTAACCACTGAGCCACCGTTCTGAAAATCCTTCTCATGCTGAGATAATGTGAGTGAAGTGTGATTTTTTTTTCATAAACAATGCTGTAGTCATTTGGTTACAAGCAACAATGAGTTGAATGATCAACAAATGTGTTTTTGGAGGATTTTATTAAGAAAGCAATGTTGGCCTGAGGTCAGTTCACAGCTTTCACACTTATCAACACCACCGGAACAGGAACTGGAGGAGGGCTGTTCGGCCCACTTGAGCCACTTCCACGATTGAGTTAGATGATGGTTGACTTGCTTTTTAACTCTAGTCACCTGTCTTGGTCCCAAATCTTTAATAGTTCTTGTCTAACAAAAGTCTAACAAAAGGAGGTGGGAAAGCAAGTGGTGAGGATAACATAAATGTTTTGCAGAAGGATGTAGGCAAGTTATGTGTGGGCAAAAACTTAGCAGATGAAATATAATGTTGGCAAATGTAGGTAATGCACTTTGGCAGGAAGAACAGAGGAGTTCAATTTTATTTAAATGGAGGAAGACCGCAGAAAGGTAAGGAACAGAGGGATTTGGGAATCCTCACCCATGAATCACAAAAAGCTAGCATCCATGTGCAGTGGGTAACAGAGAATGCAAATGGAATGTTGGCCTTTATTTCAGAGGGAATGCAATGTAAAAGTAAACAGATTTGCTACAACTAGAAAAGGCACACGTTAGACTACAGCTGGAATACTGTGAATAGTTTTGGCCTCCCTTTCTAAGAGAAGATATATTGGCATTGGAGGCAGTATCAAGATGGTTCATTAGGCTGATCCCAGGTATGTAGCAAGGTGTGAGGAGAGGTTATGAATATGTTGGGCCTGTATTCATTGGAGTATAAAAGAATGAGAGGCAACTTATTGAAACAACTAAGATCCTTATGGGATTTAACAGAACAGATTTGGAAACACCTTTTTCCCTTGTGGGAGAGTCTAAGACCAAAGGAAATAATGTTCGAATAAGGGATTACGCAGTTAAGATAGATGAAAAAGATTTTTTTTCTCTTAGCTGGTAGTGAATCTGTGGAATTCTTTACTACAAGGGGTTATTGAGACTGGTTCATTAAGTCTACTCGAGGCTTAGATAGATAGATTTTTAATCAGTAAGGGAATCAAGGGTTATAGAGAAAAGGCAGGAAAGTGGAGTTGAAATTATCTGATCAGCCATGGTCTAATTGAATGACACAGCAGAATCAGTGGGCTGAATGGATTATTTCTGCTCCTATGTCTTATGGTTTATGGTCTCAGTTCTATAATTGAGCTCATGTCCACAGGGATTTGAATTAATAAAGGAATGGACCTTCCAACAATGTAGTATTCCCTCAGTATTTCACTGAGAGTCAAAGGTGAATAATTGCTCAAGTCCTACCAAATTCCTCATTCAGAAGCATATGGACTACTCAACAAACGCCATAGAAGGAATTGAGCAAATCCATGAAAAACAGGACTTTTGCACTAATAAACGTCAGGGGACCCTAATAAATGTTACATTCATTTATAGATGCACATTCTGGGAGCTAGTTTGACAATAACACTACAAAGTGATTGCCAGAAGAATTAGAGGTGGATGAGGAAAACCATTTTTATGCAAGAAGTGGTTATAAAATTTGTAACTGGCGGTGGAAACAAATTTATGGCGATTTTCAAAAGGTAACTGGATAATACTTGAAGAAAAAGAGTTGCAGGGACAGGTGAAAAGTGGAAATGAACTGAATTGATCGTTCGTTGTAAGAGTGAGTGCAGTTTTGATGGGCCAAATAGCCTCCTTTTGTGCCTCACTATTCTATAATTCTGTTATTTTAGCTCAAAGCCTCATCTAAATGACAACCATTCCCAAGGTGCAGGCCTTTCTCGGGATAATGTGCCATCCATTATTGATTAGGAGCTGCATGTTCTGTGCTATGAATTTTTCTCCCATTAACACTGAAGAATTTTCTAATATTGAATTCACTCCTACGTTAAAAAAAAATCTGTCTCTAAATATCTCCTAGCAGGAAATCAAAAGTTGCAACTGAACATTGAGGGGTTTTGATAAAGTACATAGAAGGAGAATATTCCCACTGTTCAGGGGGTCAGTAACCAGATGATGCAGGTTTGCAGGTGCAGCAGGTAATTAAGAAGGTAAATGGAATATTGTCCTTCATTGCTACAGGGATTGGGTTTAAAAATAGGGAGGTTATCTGCAGCTGTATAGGGTGCTGGTGAGGCCACTCCTGGAGTACTGTGTACAGTTTTGGTCTCGTTACTTGAGAAAGGATGTACAGGCACTGGAGGGGGTGCAGACGAGGTTCACTAGGTTGATTCTGGAATTGAGAGGGTTGGCTTAGGAGGAGAGATTGACTAGACTGGGACTATACTCATTGGAATTTAGATGAATGAGGGAGGATCTTATAGAAACATATACAATTATGAAGGGAATAGGTAAGATAGAAGCAGGGAGAAGGTTTAGGACTGAGTTGAGGAGGAACTTCTTCACCCAAAAGTTTCTGAATCTGTGGAATTCCCTGCCCAGTAAAGCGGTTGAGGCTATCTTGTTGAATGACTTTAAGGTGAAGATAGATAAGTTTTTGAACACTAAAGTAATTAAGGGTTATGGTGAGAGGGTAGGTAAGTGGAGCTGAGTCGATGAAACGATCAGCCATGATTTTACTGAATGGCGGAGCAGGCTCGACAAGCCAGATAGTCTATTCCTGCTCCTATTCTTTATGTTCTTATGTTTGACAGAATTACAATTAAAAGCCAGAGATAAGATGAGGAGAAGTTATGTGACTTGGCGAGCTGGCATAAATGAGTGGAATTAGATTCAATTACAACAGCATAAGCACCAAAGGCTGAATGGCCTCCTTGTGTGTTGTACAATTCGATGATACACTGTGTGTTTTGAGTAACTGCCATGTGAAGTGATAAGATTGGAAATAACTCCAACAAAAAACACCACTAAAGTATTCTGGGGTAAAAGTAGTTTTGAAAGAGGTTGAGCAAGTGAGATTTATAGACATAAAATATATCATGGCATGCTTATTAATGACACCCTTATGGCCAAACATTGCCACTGCTTCAGACACATTGATCCACAGACAGGGCTATTATTAGTTTTGCAACAGAGAACGTGAATGCCTGAGGTGAGTGTCGTATTTGCAGACTCTATTATTTGGCTGAGCTTACGATAGGAATGTGGAAACATCAGAAAAAATTGGTTGAACAAAAACAAACTATTCTCTTTCCCTTTGCTGATGGCAAGTGGCGGTGCCCAGAAACCTACGCGGTAATTAGACCTTGGTCATCTGCTAGCTATTTAATACCTGGTGATCGTATTGAGCCCTTCATTTGTTTGAAGCTTACATACGTTTAAACACCATTCACTCTCAATTCATGCTGTCAGATTGAGGAATGTGGGTGGACAGCAGTATTCTAGTGATGCGCAATAAGTGATCATCTGAAGATTAAAATCATTCAAATCTGAAGTCTGAATGAACCCAGTTACTGACCAGGGAAAGTTGTCTACTTGGTATCTAAAAAAATTCCATCAGATTTCTGCAGATTAAACTCATTGACTTCACTAGGTCATCATGAATACCCCACACGTACATCCATAGTTCACTGAAGATCAGAACCACATTGATCTCAACGCCACGAGACATCAGGTATCAGTACTGAGCGGCCAGATTTGGATTTGAAATTGAAGTTCTAAATCTCAATCTAACATTTAAACTTGGTCTAAGTCTGAAGCTGAAGCTAACTGGCCTGTCTTTGTTGAACCTTTTGCAATCATTGGGCAGATAGTGAGACAGTTGAGGTACACTTCCGAGGCATTGTGCGACATACCTGGTCGATGTGCTTTGGGCACTGCCATGTTTGCCACCCTCCCTGCATCCTGAGGTTTCGGCGGTGATGCAGTAAACCTGCAGATGCCCGATTCTGAAGGCGTGCTGGATGTCAGGCTATCTGTGTACTCATTGGTCCCAGCTGTCAGCTGCTCCGAAGATGTATCCGATATGAAGCATTCCGTAATTGTAAACTTGGCGTGCCTCAGCTGCTCCTCCATCTTGGCATGTTCGTATGCACGTGCCAGCTCCTCATACGTAGAGGAGGCACTCTCCGTTGAGACCATGCTGCTCCGTGCTCTGTCTAACAGGAGAGAACATAACTCAGTACAAAATCAAACTCCAATTTTCACAGCGTGAATGCTGTTTTCTGTTGGAATGTGTGTGACTGAGGGCCCTCTTAGACATTGCTTTTCCATCTTCACATAATTCCTGAGGGGAAGGAATGGCCTAGTGGTATCGTCGCTGGGCTGTCAATCCAGAGACCCAGATAACGTTCCGGGAACCTGCGTTTGAATCCTGCCATGGGTATGGTGCCTGATGGGTAGGGGGAAGGAAATGATGCCAGCTAGGTAGGGTGACAGCTGGGGAGTGAGTTTGGGGACCATGGGTAGGATGCCAGATAAGTAGGGTCTAGGGTGCCAGGTATATAGGCTATCAGCTGGGTAGGGGGCCAGGACATAAGCTGAGGGGTAGGTTTCCAGGGTACAAGCTGATAAGTGTTGTGGGTTAGGATGGGTGTGGGAGAAATCAGGTCTAGTGGAGTGTTGGGTCTAGCACCTGACGCTTTGGTTCTGGGGTGAGCTGTGTCAAGTTGATGAGACAATGATATTATTTTATAGGGAGTGCAGAAGAGATAGATGTCTTTGTGGTTGTGCACAAATCTTTGAAATTGGCAGGACAGGTTAACAAACTAACTTGTATGGAATCCTGAGTTTGCAGTAACATTGAGAACTGGCTGTAAACTAGTTCAACAGGGGGATGGGAACCTACAGAGAGGCTCTGAATTAGCTAGAATGAGTGAGGGCTTAAGGAAAAAGAGAATCAATACAGTAACTAAAACGCAAGAAGCAGCTGAGCAGTGTAGCACTACCATGAGTGGAAACCAGGTGAAAAAGACAGAATGTTTAAAAACAAAGGTTCTTCTGGGAGAGGGGTTAGGATTCAAAAAGCTATAAAAACTGGCATAAGGGCACCTTACCTGAATGCTTGTAGCATTTGAAACGAGGTAAATGAGTTAACGACACAAATCATCGTGAACGGGTGTGATTTAGTGGCCATTACAGAGACAGGGTTGCAGGATGGTCGCGACTGGGAGTTAGATATCCAGGGATGTCGGACTATTTGGAAGGACAGACAGGAAGGAATGGGAGGTAGTTTAGTTCTGACATTTAAGGATGACATCAGGGTAGTCATGAGAGATGGTATAGGTTCTATGGAGAAAAAGCTTGAATCAATGGGAAATTAGAAATAGGAAGAGGAAAATGTCACTGATAGGTGTAGTCTATTAGCCACCAAATAATAACATCACGTTAAGACGGGCAATAAACAAAGAAATACTTGATGCATGTAAAAACTGCACTTCAATTATCATGGGGGATTTTAACCTGCATATTGATTGGTCAAGGCAAGTTGGTCAGGGCAGCCTTGAGGAGCAGTTCATAGAATGTACCCACGATAGTTTCCTCGAACAGTATGTACTGGAACCTACAATGGAGCAAGCTATCCTGGATCAGGTCCAGTGTAATAAGACTGGAATAATTAATGGTTTCACAGTTAGGGATCCTCTTGGTAAGAGCGATCACAGTATAGTTGATTTTAAAATACAGATGGAGGGTGAAAAGGTAAAATCCAAAAGCAATGTCTTGTGCTTAAACAAGGGGGACTACGATGGCATGAGTGAGGAATTGGCTAAAGTAGATCGGGAGCAAAGACTATGTAGTGGGACAATTGAGGAACAGTGGAGGACTTTCAAAGTGATTTTTCACAGTGCTCTGCAAAAGTAGCGCTGCTGCCTTATAGCACCAGGGATCTGAGTTCAATTCCAGCCTTAGGTAACTGACTATGTGGAGTTTGCATGTTCTGCCTGTCTTTTCTGGGTGTTCCAGTTTCTTCCCACAGTCCAGACATATGTAGACTAGGTGGATTAGCCATGGGAAATGCAGGGTTAGAGTAGGGAGCTGGGTGGGATGCTCTTCAGAGGGTCAGTATGGGCCAAATGGCCTACTTTTACACTGTAGGGATCCTATGATTTAAGTTCAGCATAACCTCCTTGTTCTCATATTCAACATCCCTATTAATAAAGCCCAGGACACTCTATTAACCACTCTCTCCACTTGTCCTGCCAGTTGTAATGACTTGTGCATATATGCATAAGAAATAGGAGCAGGAATAGGCTATCAGCCTGCTCTGCCATTCAATAAGATCATAGCTGATCTTTTCGTGGACTCAGCTCCACTCACCATAACACTTAATTCCTTTGCTGTTCAAAACTCTAAAAACATTCAGCAAGGTAGCCTCAACTGCTTCACTCGGCAGGGAATTCCATAGATTCACAACCTTTTGGATGGAGATGTTCCTCTTCAACTCAGTTCTAAGTGTTCCCCCTTATTTTGAGGCAATGCCCCCAGCTCTAGTTTCACCCCCTCAGTGGAAACAACCTCCCTGCTTCTATCTTATCTATTCCCTTCATAATTTTATATGTTTCGATAAGATCCTCCCTCATTCTTCTAAGTTACAATGAGGATAGTCCCAGTCTACTCAATCGCTGCTGATAAACCAACCCTCTCAACTGTGGAATCAGTCTAGTGAACCTCCTCTGTACTTCCTCCAGTGCCAGTACACCCTTTCTCAAGTAAGGAGACCAAAACTGTTCAGTACTCCAGGTGTGGCCTCATCAGCACCTTATACAGCTGCAGCATAACCTCCCTATTTTGAAACTCCATCCTTCTGGAAATGAAGGATAATATTCCATTTGTCTTCTTAATCTCCTGCAGCACCTGCAAGCCAACTTTTTTGTGATTCATGCACACGGATACCCAGGTCCCACTGCACAGCAGCATACTGCAATTTTTCACCAATTAAAAGTAGTCCATTTTGCTGTTATTTCTACCAAAATGGATGACCTCACATTTACTAACGTTGTACTCCATCTGCCAAAGCCTTGTCCACTCACTTAACCTACCTATATCCCTCTTCAGACTTTCAGTATCCTTTGTAGACTTTGCTGTACCACTCATCTTTGTGCCATCTGCAAACTTTGACACACTACACTTGGTCCCCACCTCCAAATCAGCTATGTAAATTGTAAACAATTGCAGTCCCACCACTGATCCCTGAGGCACACCACTAGCCACTGATCACCAACCAGAAAAACACCCATTTATCCACAATCTTTGCTTTCTGACAGTTAACCAATCCTCTATCCATGCTAAATAAAAGCCGAAAGGACTGTGGATGCTGTAAATCAGGAACTAAAACAGAAGTTGCTGGAAATGCTCAGCGGGTCTGGCAGCATCTGTGAAGAGAAATCAGGATTAACGTTTCGGGTCTGGTGACCCTTCCTCAGAACCGAGGAAGGG